CAAAGGAATATTTGTTGCTTAGCTCTTTGTGGTGGTGGTTTATCAGAACCAGCTCACACTGGCCCCCAACAACTGAAGGGGCATATTTCTTCTCAAATGCACATCAAATGACCAGTTAGCTTGTAATGAGCCATTGTGGGAGAATTTACACCACAGAAATCAACAAATGCCATAAATCAGGGCTTTGGGAGGGAGAAGGCAGGGCAGGGATGAAGGTTATTTCTACACAGTTACTAGCACACCTCTACCTCTTATCCGGTAAAAGAAGGTATTGTATAGGTACTGCAGGCACTGTATATGGTGGTCCTGGAACAAAAGTGGCTAAACTCTAGTTGTAAAGGTAAGCCATAAAACAAGGTAAAAATAATTTTAGTAATTAGTAGAAAAGATTTGGGATTGGCAGTCTAACTTACTGGTTAAAGACTTGGGTTTGTGTCAGTTTGCATTATTCTACGCAGCTGCTGAATACCCTTCAGCAGCTCATTCATGTCTCTGACCCTCAATTTTGTCCACTGTAAAATAAAAATAATTAAAAGTGAGCTTTTTGTTCATATAGTTGTTTTGAGTATTCCGATAATGAACGAATGCACTGGGTGCACTGTGGCACACACTGAGGGCTCAACACATTTTAACCATTATAATTAAAGAGAAGTAGTTGAAAAATTATCATCCTCATCTTAGCTGCAGTTACATGTTTACTTAGTCCCAACGATAAATGCCTTCTTTCTTGTTCTCAAGCATACCACGTTCATTTTGCCTCTGAGCCTTTGTGACTGCTGTTCTTTCTGCCTGCGAATCTCTCCCCTGGATCTGTGCCTGGTCAGCACCTTTTCCTTATTCCAGTATCAATTCACCTATTAGTTCTTTACAGAGGACTTCCGTGGTCACTCTTCCCGGGCCACTCATTCTACCTCTTTCCCACTTGCTCATTATGTCCCAGAATTTCCCATTCCATATTCCTGGACAACTTATCATCCTAAGAAGGTTCTGCTTTATTTGGTTACTTGTTAAATTAGCGATAGCTCTTACTGAATCTAAGATTTAGGGGAGCAGCAGCCTGGTTTGCCTTTTTTTTCTCACTTAATTTTAAGCACCAGGAATAATGCCTGGCGTGTGGTAGGCATGTCATAAATATCTGTGAGTGAATGAATAAATAGGTTGTGACTTTGAAGCCAAAAGAAAGTTAATCCACCACTTAGGTGGAGCAGACCTACAATCCTGTTTTGAACCCAATTAAGGGTTGTTTTTGATAATAAAATAGAAATATTTATGGATCCACGGGAGGTAGAGAAGTTCATTAATGCTCTGGATAAATAAAAGAATGAGCAGTAGACAATCTATTGACATGTCTAATCAGGAAATTGTGAAAACAACTAGATACGGCTGATTTTGCAAGGCCTGGGAAAGAGTGGATCCAGAATAACTTGATAGGGTAAATTCAAAGAAAAATTTTCTCTACACAGTACTACAAGTTTACTCACCTCTGTGATGATAGCATAATGATTAGAATTTAAATTCCCACTCATTAACCATCCTGATCATTACAATCTGGACGGGGAGAAGGAAATAATGTGAACTGGCCTTCCTGGTACACAGAGTTTCCATAGATCCCAGCGCGGGCGTGTGAGAGAGACTTTCCCCTACCCCTTTCATCTTATGTTTGGGCACACAAAGAGAAGGTGAGCGTACTGGAGCAAAACCAAATAAACCAGTTAGGAGACATATTTGAAAATGTTTATGGTATTATATAATAAATTAAGCATTTGTAGGTGAAGAAATATTGTATGAAGAACATCAGAGGCTTACAGGGCTTTAAAAATATCGTTCTGAAAGTGAAGGACATTAATGAATAGAAAAATATTTGCTATATATTGCACTCATATAGTAAGATTAGGAATTGTTATACTCATAAAAGAATAAACAGAATTTTAGTTTTCAATATCACCACTCATGGGAGAAATGTAAATTAAAACCACAATGAGATACTATCTTACTCCTGTCTGAATGGCCATTATTAAAAAGCCAAAAATTAGTAGATGTTGGGGCAGATGTAGCGAAAATGGAACCCTTCTATACTGTTGGTAGGAATGTAAATTAGTACAACCTTTATGAAAAACAGCATGGAGATGTCTCAAAGAACCAAAAGTAGACCCATTATTCAATCTAGCAATCCCACTGCTGGGTGTCTACCCAGAGGAAAAGAAGTCACTATATCAAAAAGGCACATGCACTAATATGTTGATTACAGCAGTATTCACAATAGCTAAGATACGGAATCAACCTAAGTGTCCATCGACTGATGAGGGAATAAAGAAAATGCAGTATGTGTGTATGTGAATATATGTATACACACACACATATGTGCCTATATATATATATACATGCACACACCATGGAATACTATTCAAACACCTATACCTCTATTCACCTCTGTGATCATAGCATAATGCCATGACATAAGATCATTATGCTATGATCCAAACGCACTAAATGACTGGATTTAACATCTTTTGCCACCTATAGCTAAATGAAGGGTTGTCTTGTAGCCTCTTGTACATTTAAGAACAAACTTACGTTAAAAAAAAAATAATTGAACAGTGGCTAATGATTTCTTTATTGTTTTCATCAGCTATACCTACCTTAGCTGTGAATTAAAATAATACCAGCCCCAAATCCTGCTGTAGTCTTCTCTTTGGTCTTTGTTCTGCCCTAAATATAGTATCACCTAAAAATAAACCAAATTATTGGAAAGAAATAAAATTTTAGCATCTTATCAAAGGCTCGCACTTCTTGTCTTAATGAGGAAAATACATATTATAAGCAGAAAACAGACCATGCAGGGTGTGGGGATGCAGAGTTCTTTATCTTACATCTGGATTAAATGCTCAAGATCTAATATTTTACTTTATTTTTTGGATTAGCTAGGCCATACAGGGCAACATGAATAATGTTGGTAGGGTTTTCAATTAAAGTGTGGATATCTGTATAGTTAGATGGAACATTTAAAAGAATTAAGAAATTCTCTGGAATCAGTTGCATGAGATTGAAAATCCAGCCATTTAATGCATTTGGATTTTGTGCATGTGTGTGTGTGAGAGTGTGTTTATACACATATTAGACAATAATCATTATCATCATTTTGAGGCAAATAATCCAGACAGGTATATAGCTACCTAATTCCCATACTGTGTCTTTTGGACCTATTTCATTATCCGCATGTAGAATTTTAAGAATTAGTTTCAGATCCTTAAAAATATAAAAGCTCCAGATTTCCTCTGCCAAGTATTTTACAATTGTGCTTACATGGTCTAAAATGCAAGAAATTCAGCAGAATGATCTTTTATATAAAAAGAAACAAGCACATAATTGCTGCACATGTAATTTATTATTTACCAAAATTTATAAGCACATACCTCACACAAATTCTTATGCCCACACTTGTACAAAGGCTAATTCTTATCAGAGTTTAATGTACGACACTATGAAGCCAGAGATTGATCCTAAATTAGAGTACACTATGAAGAAACAGCATTTGGTAACAACACGCCATATGCTAGAAAATCCTAGGTGCTATGTATATTTTATTTCATTTAATCCTCATAACAATTTATATATATGTGTGTATATATATGTAACATATACATATATAATGTCTTTGTTTTCTTCCCTCTCTTATCTCCTTATCACGTAAGATAAGATGTATTTACTTTATATCACAGTGTTTAAGATATAGGCTATCAAAGAGAAGAATAAACATCATTCAAGGACTTTGCATCCTCTTCTGAGGAAAGTGTTACAGCATGTTCAGTTGTACACAAGATAGGTGCATCCTGTTAGATGGAAGTATGACCTCGTTATTGACATCATTTGGAGAATAAGTATGGCTCTAGGAGATGCATATGGAAGCCAGGTTAACCGGGGTGAACTTGTGATGTTTAATTTTCTCTGTCAACTTGAGTGGGCCACAGTGCCCGTACGTGCAGTCAAACATGATTCTGGATTCATGATTGAATTCAGATTCTGCATCCAGGATGCTTTTGGATAGGACTGGCATTTAAATCGGTGGACTTTCAGGAAAGCAGATTGTCCTTCAGTGTTGGTGGGTCTCATTCAACCAACCAAAGGTCTTATCAGCGGTTCTGAACCTGCAGGTCGTGACCCAAAGGAACTGTATGAAAGGACCACGGCACTAAGAAGGTTGAGATCTACTGGATCAAACTAGAGACTGCCCTCCCTCAAGCAAAAAGGAGTTCTGCGGCAGACTGCTTTCATTCTTCAAATGCAGAATCGGTTTTTCCCTGGGTTTTCAATCTGCCATTTTACTCTGAAGATCTCGGACTTTGAACTTGCCAGCCTCCAAAATCACATGAGCCAGTTCTGTAAAAGAAACCTCTTCTCACACACACACAAACACATACACACACACGTCACATCCTACTGGTTCTGTTTCTCTAGAGAACCCTATTACACAATCCAATGAGGAAAGGATTCTTTGTTATATAAAGAAAACAAAGCTCACGGAGGTTTAATTGCCCAGCAAATAGTGGAGTTAAGAGTCTGAGCTCACATCTTCTGATGTGAAAGCTGATGCCTTTTTGCATTTCCCTCATGATTCACAGTAGAGACTTTTAATAAATAATCATTTCAGCCATTTATTGATTATTGAGTACATGACTAAATACGATCATCTCTTTATCTGTGAACTTGAAAAGGACAGGAAATATCCCTTTGCTGTCTTACTGTCTATATCTAGTGCAATGTCTGACACAGGGAATACCTGGAACCACACACACAGTGCATGCAGGAACACACTTATCCATCACCCCCCAACACTTAGCTACATTGAAGCACATATGCACTCCCTACAGGAGGAATTATTTAATTTAAGAGGGTCCACAATTTATGTAAACTTAAGGTAGTAGCTCATTCCTTTTCTTCAAAGTGTTGAATTTCACGGGTAATGATGAGCAAATTAAGCCCGCTTAACCTCTCTGATAATTTGATTCTTTATGTTTTAAAAAATTCTTTTGGACCATACATGGACCAGATGGCATGAGTTCCTATTCCATCTCCTGATTCCAAAAATCTGTTTAATATTAGGTCCTTACATAAAGGATTTATCAGATATTAAACTGATGAGAACAGATACTACACTTGACGTTACCCAAAATGCTGAGAAGTGATCATTTCTCTATTTGTTAAACCAAAGTTTGACCTGTAATAGTTTTCTGACTTTCAGACTTCAGATGTTTACAAATCACCTTCCTATTATTTACCTTATTTGCATACCACCCACAGAGTGTGTAATCTGCTGCCAGAAAGAAAGCAGCCATGACACTGGGACACTCCTTATGTTAGTTTCAACCTCAACCTAAGCAGTAACATTGTTGTTTTTTTAATACTTGTTGAGATAAATGTATAAATTTAAACAAACCCTTAGAATGGGAGAAGATATTTGCTGGTTATGTGTCTGACAAAGGTTTAATAACCAAAATCCACAGAGAACTCAAATGTATTTAGCAGGAAGAGAATAACTCATCCTCTCTCAGGGTGGGCAAGGGACTTGAAGAGAAATTTCTCTGAAGGAGACAGGCACATGGCCTACAAACAAATGAAAAAATGCTCACCATCCTCAATCATCAGAGAAATGCAAATTGAAACTACTTTGAGATATCATCTAACTCCAGTGAGATTAGCCTATATCACAAAATTCCAAAATCACAGATGCTGGCGTGGGTGTGGAGAAAAGGGAACACTTCTACATTGCTGGTGGGATTGCAAACTAATATGTTCCTTTTGGAAAGACATCTGGAGAATACTTAAAAAACTAAAAATAGACCTGCCATTCAATCCTATAATTCCTCTATTAGGTATATATCTAGAGGACCAAAAATCACACTATAATAAAGATATTTGTATCAGAATGTTTATTGCAGCCCAATTCATAATTTCTAGGTCATGGAAGAAGCCCAAGAGACCATCGATCCACAAATGGATCAATAAATTGTGGTATATGTACACCATGGAATACTATGCAGCCATTAAGAAAGATGGAGACTTTACCTCCTTCATGTTTACATGGATGGAGCTGGAAAATATTCTTCTTAGCAAAGTATCCCACAAATGGAAGAAAAATCATCCAGTGTACTCAGCCCTACTATGAAACTAATTTATAGCTTTCATAGGAAAGCTATAACCCAATTTTAGCCCAGGAACATGGGGGAGAGGAGAGAGGGAGGGGAAGGGAGGGGAGGGGTGGTGGGTGGAGGGAGGGTGATTGGTGGGATCACGCCTATGGTTCATCCCATAAGGGTACATCTGAATCTCTCTAACTGTAGAATTTAAATGTCTTAACACAGTAACTAAGAAAAAGACATGAAGGCTATGTTAACCAGTTGGATGAAAGTACTTCAAATTGTATAGAGAAATAGTATACTGTACCCCATGATAGTATTAATGTACACTGTTATGATTTAATAAAAATAAATAAATAAATAAAATATTTTTTTAAAAAAAACAAATTAAATTGTGTGCAAACTCAGATCATTCAATATTACCAGCAAACAGATCGCCATATTGGGGAAAAATTGTTTAAATTAAAACATAAATTCTTAAAAATGAAACAGATAAATAAATGAATAAATAGATCTTAAAGTCTTGGTTAGCTCTATCTCTATATGTTTATAAATCGACCAGTGAACATTAGATAATTCTATAATTTAACTCATATATAATCTTCCTAATTCTCTTCCATAATCTAAAATCCCCTATGTATGATAAGTATTTATGATGATGATTGGCTTAAGATTTTTTAACTTTATGATGGCACGAAACTATTGTGATTCCAACATAATGTACAGTATTCAGTAAAATGCATGAGATAATCAGCACTTTATTACCACATAAAATAGGCTTTGTGCTGGCGATTTTGCCCAATGGTATGTTAGTGTAAGTGTTCTGAGTAGGTACCTGGTAGGCTAGGCTAGGGTATGATATTTGGTGGATTATGCATATTAAATTCATTTTTAACTTATATTTTCAACTTATGATAGGTTTGGGGGACACAATTCCATCGTAAGCTGAGGAGCATTTGTAATCTTACTTTTTCACAGGCTGCTTGTACACTCCTGGTGAAGAATTCATAGGCTCTATAAAATTTTATAGGTAGATGGGGATGTATACCTTTAAATCTTCAAGAGGTCTTGTGTAGACTTTTAAAACAATTATTTTTACTACAATCCACAGTATGAAATATATTTCTATGGTGATCCAAAATAGATAGATACATGCAGTATAATTGAAATAAAATTTTAATAAAACCTGCTTACATTTACTTTATTCTGTTTGATTCAATTGATCTACTCTATTCTATTTCATTCTTTAAATTGCAAATTGCCACTTAACAAAATTTATTTTATAGCATATTATATTAGTTATCTATTTCTGTATACCAACACTGCCACAAATTTAGAAGCTTAAAACAACACTCATGTATTTTCTCAGTTTCTCTAGGTCAGGAGGCCAAGTGTGGCCTAGCTATGTCCTTCCTCAGATGAACTACCAGGTCTTGAGTTCATCTGAGACTCAGCTGAGAAATGGTACAGGTTCTTGCTCACCTGTCTTAGCAGCATTCAGCTCCTCGCAGGATGCTAGAAGCACCCAGTTTCTTGCTGACTGTTAGCTGGAGACTTCCCTTAGTGTCTTGCTACATGGCCCTTTTCAGAGGGAAGCTTACAACATGACAGTTTGCTTTGTTAAATCAACATCACGGAGTCTCTTCTCACAGTGCAAGTACTACAGTCTCATGGAACGTGATGGTATACATGTGATTACGTGTGTCCCTTACGTTAGCACATTCTATCAGTAGAAGCACATTGCAGGGCCAGTGCATACTTGAATAGACGGTATTAGGCAAGGAGTGAATACCAAGAGCGGGGGAACTGTCTGCCACACAAATTAATGCAGCAATTTCTAAAGTTTAAAAACACTAGTCCAACAAGTGGACTCTTTTCATATGATAATATTTCTGAGCTTCTACAGACCAGTAAGGCAAGAATCATCATACGTAAATTTTACAAGTCACTAAGAAAACCATAAGAGTGAAAGGGCTTGCTCAGGATTACACAATTCTTTTATATACCTTTGGCCCCCAGTCTCATGATGTTTTTATTCTACCAAGCAGAGTGCCCAGTATGTAGTAGCCACTCAATATGTAGATTTATTTGTTTGTTTGTTTGTTTCACAGTCTCATTCTGTGACCCTGGCTGTTGGGGTGCAGTAGTATAATTACAGTTCACTGCAATCTTGAATTCCCAGGCTCAATCAATCTTCCCAACTCAGCCTCCTGAATAACTAAGACCAAAAGTGGTATGCTATCCTGTCCACCTAATTTTTTAAGGTTTTTTTAGAGATAGCAATTCCTCTACTAGGCATATACCCAGATGACCAAAAATCATTTTATAACAAAGATATTGGCATCAGAATGTCTATTGCATCCCAATTCATAGTTGCCAAGTTACAGAAACATCCCAAGTGCCCATCAACCCATGAATGGATTAACAAATGTGGTATATGTATACCACAGAATATTACACAGCCATAAAAAGGTCTCCACTTTATATCTTTTATATTTATATGGATGGAGTTAGAACATATTCTTCTCAGTAAAATATATCAAGAATGGAAGAAAAAGTATCCAATGTACTCAATACTATTATGAAACCAATATATAATCACCTACACTCTTATATGAATGATAAAACACAACTATAGTCCGGAAATAAGGAGGGAAGAGGAAGGGGGGCAGAGGAGGGAGGGTATTTGGTGGGACCTCACCAATGTGCATAATGCAATGGTATATGTCAAAAATATTAAGCATAGAGTATAAATGTCTTAACACAACAAATAAATGAGGTGAAGCTTATGTTAACCAGTTGATGAAAGTATTCCAAATTGTATATAAAATCAGCACATTGTATCCCATAAATGCGTTAATGTACATAGTTATGATTTAATTTAAAAAAAAGAATCTCACTATGTTGTTCCAGTTAAGCATGAACTCCTGGTCTCAAGCAACCCTCCTGCCTCTGCCTCTCTCTGGGGTTATAGGAGTGAACCACTGCTCTTGGCCAACGTATGTGTTTTGAATGAACGTATGACTAAGTAAATGACTAAATATAATAGCATCTTTCATGAAATTCTTGGAACTAGTCAATTGGAATTGCTAAGAGAGATCATTTAAAATCCTATTGATTTTCTTTCCAATCTTTGACATTGTATATATTCTTATAACATGATATGTGCATTTTTCTGGAAAAAGAAAGTTAATGCCAATCTCAAATATATCTACTTCTCTACATATTTAAAGGCAAATATTCTCACAATCTACAAAGATGAACTTGACAAATTTAGGCAGTGATTATTGAAGAAAACTTGTAAGTAATTTAAGTACACATTATAGTATTCCTCATGTTTATTGATAGTCCAAATAATGCCCCAACAATTTTGATCATGCCATAGTTGTGAAAGTTTTAAGAAATTAAAAATAGTTGTCAATGTAAGTATAATTATTTGCCATTCTGCATTTTTAAGCAATCTTATTATTTAGAACAATGTTTATTATCCATCACTATTGCCCCAAATAGCACCATCTTCAAAATGAGAGTTTGAAAAGCTTTTAATTTGTAAATTAAGCATCGCAACAAGAAGCAGCTTTCCTGTCTGTCTTGTTTTTCCAGATAATGGTCATTTGAACGATCTCTGAGTCTGGAGGTTGCTGTTAACAAACTGAATTGTACTGCTGCTGGGCTAGTTAACATTCACATTAGACTTTCAAAACAGTGCGGAAAAAATCGTCAGCGCTTTGATGGCATTTATGATGGACACATGCTGGGCTAATGAAGACAATATGTCAAGGCTCCAAATACAACAATTTTAGGGATATTTGAAACAGATCTTGGGGTAGACAGAGCTGATTCCATCTTCGGCAGTTGCATTCTGAATTAGTGATAAGTATCTTTACAAAGAAAAGATTGGACGTGAATGGTGTGGGAAGTTCAGGCTAGATAAATAATTGTAAGAGTAGTCAAAAAAGAGAAATCTTATATGAATGAATATGGATACTCTGAAATTAAAAGACTTGAGTGGGATTTGGGTGGGAGTGGGAAGAGTTGGGGAGGGAAGCT